CAGTCCAGGAGGTGAATTCCGGCTTTACCACTTACTACTTGTAAGTAACTTGGGAAAGTTATTTGGCCTCTGAGCACCAGTTTTCTCACCTGTAAAAGAGACATATTAACAGCTAATTTGCCGGCTTTGAATGAAGATGAAATAGGCCAGGCACAGTGGCTCACACCTGCAATCCTAACACTTTGGGAGGCCAAGGCAGGCGGATCACAAGAGGCCAGAAATTCAAGATCAGCCTGGCCAACATGGTAAAACCCTGTCTCTACTAAATTTTTTTAAAAAAAGCTTAGCCAAGCATGGTGGCACACACCTGTAATCCCAGCCACTAGGGAGGCTGAGGCACAAGAACTGCGTGAACCCCAGAGGTGGATGTCACAGTGAGCCAAGACTGTGCTACTGCACTCCATCCAGCCTGACGAAAGGAGACTCTGTCTCAAAAACAAAAACAAAAAACAAAAAAGAAAAAAAGAAATAAACTTAGTGGCTAACATACTATATACTGACCTGATTACTCATCAGAATCACCCAGGGAACTTTTGAAAACCATAACTTTGTGGGCCCCAAGCCCCATCTACTAAATCAAGAATTCCATAGGTGAGGCCGAGAAATTTATAGGGAATGTTATTATAACATGCACTTTTGGATGCGTTTCTGATTTTTATACATCCATTGCATTTGGGAATCATTACTTAAGAAACCAATAATAGAAGTTACATAAAACATCAGGTACATGTAAATAACTGATATAAATAAGCTACATTGTTGTTTTGCATTATTATTTAACTTCATGCATAAGAAGCCTTATTTGCCAATTAGACTTCAAACTTCTTGAGGAGAGGATTCATGCAGTCTTCCTAGCACTCAGCATAGAATTATTAGCCGCACAGGAGTTATGAAAGAAATACTTGTTAAATAATTCAACTAGTAAGGGTAATAACTAATTATGTAAAGAATAAAATACCATTTTAAAATAATAAAATTAAAGATACTTCGATCTTAATATGACATTATTCCTAACAAAGCACATTTCTGATGACACCATCTTCGTATCTATCCATGCAGTTTTAGTTACAGGAATATTACAAGGATCTTACTCTAAGGTATTTCATTTATCATGTGGTCTCATGGCATATGGATCAGCAAGTTCATAAAGAACTGAGGTACAGACTAGATGATCTCCACAAACCCTCCATCTCCTCTATGAAAAGACTGCCCTTTTGCTGTGTCTTAAAGGATAAACTGGATGTTGACAGAATAATTGTGAAAGACGAATACTTCCAGGGAGGTCATCCTGTTTAGAATGATGATTCTTCTAGTGGGGAATGAAATAAAACAAAGAAAAGAAAAACAAATGAAAGGATTTTAGCAAAGCATAAATAATAGAAAAAGAATGAGAGAATGAAGTTGGGTATGGTGGCACATGCCTGTAGTCCTAGCTCTTCAGGAGGTTGAGGCACTTGAATCCAGAGTTTGAGGCCAGCCTGGGCAACACAGTGAGACCTCCAATTCTTAAAATGAGAGAATGAATAAATAATTACCCATCCAAAATTCTCAATAAAAATAAAAAAGATTTAGATGTGGCATTTCTTGCCGAGACAGTACGTTTGTGGGAGATGTATAAAAATAGGATGGCTGCTCAGTTTGCCAGTTAGATGTTTAGTGGACTGCTGATTCCACTTTTCTAGCATGCTTCAATACACCCACAGCGCTAAGCTGAGGTTTAATGATAGGACCCAGCCTAAGGGAGAATCCAAAGACATTCTTTTGTGCATTGATGAGTTTCACTCTATCCATCAGGAATGACTACCAGGCAGGTTGCTGGTCTGGCCAGAACCAGGGATAACAGTTCAAGCATGAACATACACATTAAAGAGCTTCTCCAGAAGTAAGACCACAGGCTCAATTATCAAAATCCATGAGACACAGAAAAGGGAAGGAAACTGAAGGAGAGAAGTATAAGTACACTTCTATAATGGATAGTATGGTTACAAATGAAAGCAAAAGGGGACATAATTATTTCTCCAACATATTCTGTGAAACAATGAACAAAAATTAAAGTAGATTAGACTTTAAAAAATAAGTAGGGGAGCAAACAAAATCCTCTATTAGATGTATCAAAATTTAAGCTGAAGAACTTATTTCTTACATTGTAAAAGGGACTGATGCAACTATATTTGAGGTACTCAATTCACTGTATTTTTAGGTTTCAGACACAGTCTTGCTCTGTTGCCCAGGCTGAAGTGCACTGGCACGATTTTAGCCCCCTCAACCTCCACCTCCCAGGTTCAAGCAATTCTCATGCCTCAGCCTCCTGAGTAACTAGAATTACAGGCGCACACCACCATGCCCAGCTAATTCTTATATTTTTAGTAGAGACAGGGTTTCGCCATGTTGGCCAGGCTGGTCTTAAAACTCCTGACCTCAAGTGATCTGCCTGCCTCCTGGCTAATTTTTTTGTATTTTCAGTAGAAATGAGGGGCTGGGCGCGGTGGCTCACGCCTGTAATCCCAGCACTTTGGGAGGCCGAGGTGGGTGGATCATGAGATCAGGAGATCGAGACCATCCTGGCTAACATGGTGAAACCCCGTCTCTACTAAAAATACAAAAAACTTAGCCGGAAGCAGTGGCGGGCGCCTGTAGTCTCAGCTACTCGGGAGGCTGAGGCAGGAGAATGGCGTGAACCCGGGAGGCGGAGCTTGCAGTGAGCCAAGATCATGCCACTGGACTTCAGTCTGGGCGACAGAGCGAGACTCCGTCTCAAAAAAAAAAAGAAAAAGAAATGATTTTTCACTATGTTGGCCAGGCTGATCTCAAACTCCTGGCCTCAAGTGATCTGCCGCCTTGGCCTCCAAAAGTGTTGGGATTACAGGTGTGAGCCACGGTGCCTGGCCTCACTGTGTGCTTTGTTTATAATTTTTTAAGATACGGAAGTGAAGAAGGCAAATAAAAATAAAGGGTGGCTGGAGAAACAGAGAAGCTTAGATAAACTGGCTCTGTATATACTGATCAAGAAGAGATTAATAAGAACTGCATTAAGATATATAAAAAATTTAAAGAAAGTGAATAAGTGATATAAAGTATTTTCAATCTGTATTAAATACAACAAAGAGAAACATTAACTGGATCAACAGAGGGGCTAGCCTAGTGAGATTCTGAAAGTATTCAGAGTAAAAATAAAGAGAAATTCAAGAACTACTTCATTTAAGGACAGTCAGAATGAGACATAAGGAAGAAAAACAAGCAATTGGGACTTCTGGTTCTACACAGTCATCACTTAGTAGCAGTCATGAAGAAAATCATACCTACTGAGGAAACTTGAGTTTATAATCATAGTAGGAGAAATCAAGAAGCACTTTACAGAGTGTGATTTAGCGCAGAGAGACTGGCCTTTATATGCAGGCAGAGCTGAAAACAAAACACCTCATTATCACACTACCATCCTTGTTGGGTAACTTTGGCAAGTTCATCAAATCCCTGAGCCTTTGTCTTATCTGTAAACAACAGCAATGATACCTACACCTTGCAAGATCACTGCATTAGAGGTAACGCATGTACAGTACCTAGTAGAGCACCAGGTAGGGGCTGCTATTAGTATAATAAATCTTAATATTATTAGTCTTATACTTATTGTGTAACAATGGAGCCAATCCACAAATATTTATTAGGCATCCATTACATGCCAATATGATATTGGGAGGTGCTGGGAGGATACAGAAGACAGACTGCAGACATTTCTTTTAAGGGACAAAAAAAGAGAAAGTCTAGAAAACATGATATAACCACTATAAAATATTTTAATAGCATTTTATTTCTGAAATTGTTCTTCCCCAAGTCTTTTCTTCTTGCTGAGACTGAAGCTTTGAATGTATATAATATGACCAGCCTTTATACACATACTATATGAAAATATACAGCAAATGCTAATGATACCAGCAACATAATGGTTTTTACCCTAACGGAAAATAATCTGCATATATGCAAAAAAGACTGTTACTAGGCCCACTAATGGGGCAAGGGAAAGTCTAGGTTGGAACTGCCAAGGGAAATCTATAACCTAGAAACTCATCCAAAATATCATAGGGGCTGGGCACAGTAGCTCACACCTATAATCCCAGCACTTTGGAAAGCCGAGGCAGGTGGATCACTTGAAGACAGGAGTTCGAGACCAGCCTGGCATGGTGAAACCCCGTCTCTACTAAAAATACAAAATTTAGCTAGGCAAGGTGGTGTGCACCTGTAGTCCCAACCACTCTGGAGGCTGAGGCAGAAGAATCGCTTGAACCAGGGAGGCGGAGGTTGTAGTAAACCAAGATGGTACCACTGCACTCCAGCCTGGGCGACACAGCAAGACTCCATCTCAAAAAAAACACAAAAAACAAAAAACAAAAATCGGCTGGGCACAGTGGCTCATGCCTGTAATCCCAGCACTTCAGGAGGCCATGGCGGGTGGATTACTGGAGGTCAGGAGTTCAAGACCAGCCTGGCCAACATGGTGAAACCCCATCTCTACTAAAAATACAAAATTAGCCAGGTGTGCTGGCATGCGCCTGTAATCCCAGTTACTCAGGAGGCTGAGGCAGGAGAATCGCTTGAACCCAGGAGGCGGAGATTGCAGTGGGCCAAGATCATGCCATTGCACTCCAGCCTGGACGACAGAGTGAGACTCCATCTCAAAAAAAAAAAAAAAAAAAAAAAAAATAGGGTACTCCTTGGCCTATATTTTTGAAAAAATATCAGAAAACAGTACTGACATGACAGCTTATAAAAAATGTCCCCTGCACACATCAATCCCTGTGACCCAGAGTGAAGGGTGGCCAAAAAGCCAAGACCTAAAGAGCATATAGCTTCAGAGGGTCAAGGCACACAAGAGAAAGAGCCCAAAGCTCAAAACACAAGAGGTACCTGTCCAGAGGATTTAAAAGGATGAATTAAAAATAAAAGTTCTTACATAATAAACTAAATATGTAAATCTCAAATTAAGAATTAAAATCATTTCCATTTACCTGATTGCTTAGAATTTCTTTCTTTCCACTGAATATTTTTGCATTTGATCTGGTTTTGTCTCTCTTTTCGGAGTCGTTCTAATCTTTGAGCTTGAAAAGAAATATTATAACTATAAGTTTGTCAATGAAAGTTTACCATAAACAAAGACATAATTAACTACCTTTACATGAATAAAGATGTTTTATATTGCATATGTAGAGAAAAAGTCATAAAATTTTAAAGGTGGCACCCCTGAAAAGCAAATACCAACAAAAACATGAAAATATTCTTGATTTATAATTGAAATTAGAGGATATAAAACACTAATAGAGATCATAAAGATAGTATTAACATGGAAGAGAATAATAAAATGTGAAAACTTCTGTGATTAATATGACATTTCATTATATAAATCATTAATAACGGTCTTAAAGGAATTTTAATGCACAAATGAACTGAAGTGAATATTACATTACAGGAATAAAATTACTGTTATGAATTACTCTACCCGTTTCAAAAATTAAAGATAAATGAACTCAGACTAGACTATTAAAGTTTTAAATATAAAATCCTTTATCTAAAAATCATGAAAATTATAAAATGTCAAAGCTATATAAATTAGCATAGCTTTTCTTCAGTGGGCTGAAACAGTTTATAGGTAGTAAAATAAATGATTTGTATCTTTGTAACATTAGTCAAATCTTAAAAAGAACAATTTTTCTTTTACAAAATTTTAAGATATGCTGCATGGATTAAAAAGTAAATTCTTTGGTCACTAAGACAATCTACAATCTCAATTAATTATTAGCATCTAAGTGCTACCGGAAGAAATTCCAACAAGAGTCACCTAAAATTATGCATTTGTGATTATATTGCCACTGGCTGATCAACCTTCAAAAATCAGTGAACTGATCCTTTAGAGAAACACCACCCAGCATCCACTGAACAACTGCTGCATACAGAGACCACGATAAAAAACAAAGTCACAATCGATGCCATCTCTTGAAATGAGTTTTCTCTTGCTAATCTTCAGCTTCCTATCCCAGCATTTTGCTAATAGAAAATAAATTAATTTCTTTTTCAGCCTCTTTCAAGGTAGGAAATTATACACTTTCTCCGTTAGCATTGTGGTTGGGAAATACTGAAAATAATCTTACCAGAAATTTAAACTATGCTGGGAAAAGCATTCTGACAATGTCACTATATCTAACCAAACTCCACTGAAGAAAAATACATTCAATTGCAATTAATAAATGTGAAGGGTACAGCCAAAGTAATATAATCATAAAGCTCTCAATTTAGCAGCATTCTCCTGCTGAAATACATTCAACCTGTCATATAAGATATCATCTCAATAACCTGCAAGGAAGTCAGTTTCAACTAGAGAACTGAGAATCAATGGTTCTAAATTATATTCAAACCTTCACTCAAATCCTATTTTGATAAAAGTTCCTTTAGATACTGGGAAATGCTATTAATTATTTTCATCATGAGAGCAAATTCTTCTTATGTCACAGATACTGAATGAATTCTGAACCAAAACCTGAATGTGCCTTTCACTGTAAATTGTATCCAGTTCTACCTCCAATATTACTTCATGTGCATTTTACATTTGGACCATGAAAATAAATACGTAAGTATTTTCAGTGTTCTACTATATCTCCTTGCCATTACCTTTCCTGGGAGTTAGCAGGTTATTATATTTTCTGATTATCTAAAAAAAAAATAATCTCCTAGAATACCTGTCATATTAGAACTACAATATATATTCTAATAATTTGTCTAAGTAAAAAAAAAAAAAAAAAAGTCCTTGGTTCATCACATTCCCCTTGAAACAAGGCCACCAAAAAAATGTGGGAAAATGGGCAATAAGCTTTTAAAGCTAATGACTAAATACATGTATACCAAAGTTGAGTGTTTTCAAGCCAGAAAAATCAAAACGTGATCAATTTAAGAAAATAAAGGCAAAGTATCAAAAACAGGGGCTCCTTTTCTAACCTCACACCCTATGTATAGAATGCTACTAAAACCAGCCCTAGCAAATACTCAGGTGTCTCCTCCCATTTCCCCACTCCCCTACAATTCGTCCAGGGGCAAGAAGTGCCTGCTCTCTTCGGTGGTCACCTCTCTGTATTAAAAGTTTTTTATTATGTCGACCTGAAATCTGTCTCCAGGTAGTCTACCTACTGGGAATAATGTTGCTCTGTGAAGACACTCAAAGCCGGTCCACTTGCCTTTCTAAACAATGACTTGTTAGACAACGTCCAACATGTTCTCCTAACCAACTTTTTCACTATCCCTCTTCTGTCTACTTCTAATAACATTCTAGAGGCCCTGTCCATTCGCAGTCGCAGAGATGGAGATGTTGCTCAGACTCACTCTTAGTCTGACATATGTGTGTTCCTATTAATACCTAGAAACTTCCCCCATTAAGCCTATTCCAACATTATGCATTATTCCATAAGACTGTTTACTGATTTAAAGCTCAGAAGACATGACTAGAACACAATGTTTACCTGTGTTTGAGCGTCTTCTAATACCAAAGTCCCAACTTGAGGTAATATCGACTGACTGGGCATATACATAGCCCTGAGTCTCACCATTGCTTCCCTGAATTTCTGACCCACTGTCTCCAGGCATTGAAGGAGGATGAATCTTCTCTAGGTCAACATCATGATCAATGAGAACCATCTCACACATTCCCGTGTCATCACTGGTCACATGTGACTGTCGAATATGAGCTAGAATGATAGTTGGATTGTCCAAGAAGGCCATCCTTTCTGTGGGCCAATTTCCTTAAAAGGCTATTTTCTCCTCTTCATATTGTTTCACGAGCTCACCTACCTAGAAACATGATGTACACAGCAAATATTTAAGAATAAGGCAGAAAATGACTGAATCATTTTTCAGACAAATTCAGTGTAGTAAAATGCCACCTTGAAAATCAACATTTATCCCTGTTCTGTGGAGCTTAAAGGGATTAAGTCTAAGCTGAAAGGAAATCCTTATAAGCACTAGGGGCTGCAGCTCTAGTCAATGAGATCTCCATAGAAATCAGAAAGGAAGGCTTGCACTCTGGCAAAACAAATCACAGCAACTCCTAACAAGTCAGGCCACTCAAAGCACATAACTACTGTTAAAACAATAAATTTCCCTTTCTTTCTCCCTTCACCATCATGCAATCTTCTCATTACTTTATAAGGTCATGGGGGAACAAGTTGTATTTTCCTCAAATGATGTGCTAAAGTACAAAACTGTATTTCATCAGTTTACATATCCCCTTACATTTCACACAGTTGTGAAGTGTTTAAAAGGGCACAGACAATGCTTTCTGAGTTACTAGGGGTTTTATAAAAATGTACCACTAAATTAATTTTGCTTAATGAATGTATTTTCCTTTCAAGATAGTACCGTGGCTTTTGTTATTGTTTTGTTCGTTTTTTCTGAGACAGAGTTATCACTTCTGTTGCCCAGGGTGGAGTGCAGTGGCGCCATCTTGGCTCACCGCAACCTCCACCTCCCGGGTTCAAGTGATTCTCCTGCCTCAGCCTCCTGCGTAGCTGGGACTACAGGGATGCACCACCATGCCTGGCTAATTTCATATTTTTAGTAGAAACAGGGTTTCTTCATGTTGGCCAGGCTGGTCTCAAACTCCCAACCTCAGTTGATCTGCCCGCCTTGGCCTCCCAAAGTGCTGCAATCACAGGCGTGAGCCACCATGCCCGGCCTGTGTTTTTAAAATAAAACTTATAAGCAAAACTACCTACTATATGATCAACTTCTCATTTTAGAAACTTAATTATAAAAACTGCTTCCTCGGTCCTGTTAAAACTGTAATGAGGCTGGGTACGGTGATTCACACCTGTACTCTCAACCCTTTGGGAGGCCAAGGCAGGAGGACTGCTTGAGTCCAGGAGTTCAAGACCAACATGGGCAACACAAGAAAGACTCTATCTCTACAAAAAAAAAAAAAAAAAAAAATATATATATATATATATATATATATATATATATATACACTCATTATTTTTTAATTAGCTGGGCATAGTGGGATGTGACTGTAGTCCTAGCTACTCATGAGGCTGAGGTGGGGGGTCACCTGAGCCACAGCATTCAAGGCTGCAGTGAGCTATGATTGTACCATTGCACTCCAGCCTGGGTGACATAGTGAGACCCTGTCTTCTAAAACAAAACAAAACGAACAAAAAACACTGTAATAGTATTTATTCTAGTAACAAGATAGCACCCTCTCAGCTAAGTGAAAATACTCAACAAAGAAAACATTGCAGAACAATGGTTAGGTACTAGGCCCTAGAGACAGAAAGGTTCGAATCCTGGCTCTATTACTTGTTAGCTATAAGATCTCGGTCAAAATACTTAACCTTTTTGAGCCTCCTTTTTTTTTCCCTTCATTTATAAAATGGAAGCTTCAGGAATGAGAGGATATGTAGGAGATAATGCAGGTAAAGTGCTCAAAAAAACACATGGCATGTAATTAAATAAATGTTAGCTATTAATAATAATGATAAAAATATCAATAATTTCAACTATCAATTCTTGCTTAAAGTAGTCCTAAAATATGTCAATATCCCATCTGTCTTATAAGTTCATGGCACATAAAAGAAGTCTGTGCTTCCTTTGTGATAGAGGACACTGCAAGTCATCTGAGTGAGTTCCCTGCCCCTGCAAAATCGTTGCGAAGTACAAGGAATATGAAAGCTGGATTGACTATGTTTCCAGGAACAGTCCTAGAAGATATTTACTTTTAGAAGGACTTATAACACCAGATTTTCTTGTAATCTGTTTCTTCTAGAAATGGAACACAGAGAGGAAATCTAGCTAATAAATCCTTACAGCTAACTAAGGTTTTAAAAATTGCTGTCTGGAAACACATCATTCTGTTGACATCACCTAGTGGGTCTTAAAATAAAGATACTGAGATTAAAAAGAAATTTAACTGAGAAGCATCTCTAATCAAGCAAATTACATTAATCTTCACTTTTTCCCCTCTTAATATATTCCTTGAGTACTTATTTTACTCTGAAGCTACTGGGAAATGCAAAGGTGAGGAAAGTATCCCTGAATCAAAAAGTTAATACCCTAATACAGACCTAGTACCTCTCCTAATACCATGGGATTCTTTTAAGCACCAAATTTCTGAGATATCTGGTCCCTGAAATATTAGCGTCAATCCACCATTTTAAGGATATTGATCAGAAAACAAATACGAAATTAACAGTGAGCATTTAAATTTCACTTGTAAAAATACAAACTTCTCTATAACCATAAAAAATGTATACACCACAGATTTATCTATAAATGAGAGTATTTATGGAATCATAGTATCACAGATCAGAGCTGCAAACATCCTTCTACAGCAATCACAATAAGCCGTCTTCCTTGCATGAAAGGAAGGCAACTAGTCACCAGTAGAGAGGAAGGTGCTTTCAAATTCATACTGAATAGTTCTCCCTTGCAAAAATAAGGGCTTTAATGAGAAATCACACATTTAATACACTTGATCTTAGCCAAAAGGCCGAGAAGCAATCACACATTTAATAGGTGTTCTAGCACCAAAAAGTCAAATGGCAAAAGGCAAAGTGACAAAAGTATACTGAAGTACCCTCAATCTAGGGAAACAGATCACTTCTTTTGAAGATAAGAGGAATAGGCAAACACTTCTCAAGGCACATACCAACTCCCCAACTTTATCCTTCCAGAACAAATGCCTCAACAATAGCAGATATCTTCTCTATTAGGACACTATGGCTTCATACATTAAGGAAGCTGTATGATTCTTTCAAAAAATAATGATTCCCTACCAACTCTGATATGGAACTCCCACAGGACTGCCCCAGAAAACATATTGTTGTGTAGGTCACTTTTTACCTCCCGTTATGTGTACTTAGAGACTTAGACTATAAGTTCCACAAGGACAGGGTCCACAACACCATATTCCTTCTGGCAACAAAGGCTGTTACACATGGCAGGAGTTCAATAAATGTTGCTGTCTAACTTTCAAGGACTATTCAGTTTCATTGTAGAGATAAGTCATATATGAATGTGCCAGGTGTAAGTGTGTGATTATAAATAAAGGATTGCCTTTTTTTCTTAACACAAGAGCATCTCTTCAATGTGCCCTTCAAAATTGTCACCTTGGAACACTATCAACTTATTCTAACAAGACTACTTTTCAAAACCCAAAAGAATATTTTTAAAAATCTCCCAAAGAGCAGCTAATTGCCATTTGAAGCTATGTTTGATTTCCAAGACAAAGACATTCAGATCAGGGATAAAAACAAATTGTACTCTCTGATCAGTTATGCAAAAATCAAAAAGATTTTTAAAAATCTAACTCTGGCAAGGGTTCAGAGAAATGGGCACTCTCATGCACAATATGAAGGAATGAAAACTGGGACTTTTTAGAAGGTAATTTGGTAATATTTACCAAAATATAAAACATGAATACTATCTGGGCAATCCTACCTCTAGGATTTGTTCTAAGGAGATAACTGTGTAAAGTATTTATCTCAGAGTAATTTGTAATACTGAAAATCTAAAAGGAACCTACAATAGTACACATATGCCATGACACATACATATAACACAATATTAAGCAGCGATTAAGAATACGTGGTAGAGGATGAACAAAATGTAGTATATACAAATGATGGAATGTTATTCAGCCTTCAAACACAGGAAATTCTGACACATTACAACATAGATGAACCTTGAGAACATTATGCTAAGTGAAATAAGTCAGTCGCAAAAGGACAAGTACTGTATGATTCCATTTATATGAGGTACCTAAAGTAGTCAAACTGACAAAATCTAACGGCAGTTGCTAGGGGCTGGAGGAAGGGAGTAATGGGGAAAAAGTATTTAATGGGTACATTTCAGTTTGGGAAGATGGAAAAGTTATGGAAATGGACAGTGGTGATGGTTGCACCATAATGTGAATGTATGTAATGCCAATGAACTACACATTTTAAAATGGTTAAAATGGTAAATTTTGGCCGGGCGCGGCGGCTCAAGCCTGTAATCCCAGCACTTTGGGAGGCCGAGACAGGCAGATCACGAGGTCAGGAGATCCGGACCATGCTGGCTAACACGGTAAAACCCCGTCTCTACTAAAAAATACAAAAAACTAGCCGGGCGAGGTGGCGGGCGCCTGTAGTCCCAGCTACTCAGGAGGCTGAGGCAGGAGAACGGCGTAAACCCGGGAGGCGAAGTTTGCAGTGAGCTGAGATCCGGCCACTGCACCCCAGCCTGGGGGACAGAGCGAGACTCTGTCTCAAAAAAAAAAAAAAAAAAAAAGGTAAATTTTACATCTCATTTATACCATGTATATTTTACCACAATTTAAAATTTTTAAGTTTTAAAATAAGTCTAGGAAACACCAGATTCAACCAAGTTAAAGAGGTTTTCTTCTTGCTGTTTTATCACAGGACTTCCCAAAACTTTTACATTATGTACTCTGTGTAGGCCGGGCACAGTGGCTCACGCCTGTAATCCCAGCTCTTTGGGAGGCCGAGGTGGGCAGATCACAAGGTCAGGAGATCAAGACCATCCTGGCTAATATGGTGAAACCCCGTCTCTACTAAAAGTAAAAAAATAAAAAAAATTAGCCAGGTGAGGTGGCGGGCACCTGTAGTCCCACTGCACCCCAGCCTGGGCAACAGAGCGAGACTCTGTCTCAAAGAAAAAAAAAAAATTATGTACTCTGTGTATTGTGACTCTCCAAGAGGGAGGAACCTAGTAACACAATATATCCCAAACTTACTTCATCCATAAATATTGTTTTCTATAGGAATACTAAAACATATCAGTGTATAACAGCATTT